GTTCACCTGGTTTTTAAAGTCCTTCTTTGGTGAGCACTCATATGTGACACAATATCTTTACATTCTGTGCCCAGTTAGAAAGCCTTATCTACATACCTCTTCTTCAGTCTCCCTTCTCCCTAATTTTCCAATTTTGTTCCTTCTAAATCCTTGACCATCCAGCCAAATCATTAGCTCCAGCCTGTGAATTGATGTGGAATCATTTGTATGGCCATTTATCATTCTAGGAAAAATAGATAACTACATGATCTGTTCAAAGTCCTGTCCACAGAAAGGATTTCCCTTTACCATGTCCCAAAGTGGGGTTGCAGTGCTGCACCTATCCACTTTTTGGTGGTTTCTGGACATCATGAAGAATTACCTGTAAACAGACTTCAAGTATTTTTATCTTCAATCAGCTAATCATAGGGAACTCCCTGTGAAGTCATAGATGCAGTTAAAGAAAGAAGGAAATGGAGCTGGAGGAGGGGTCATTGACATCTGGGCTACTTCATCTTGCAATTTATCTGTGCCTTCAGGACCTCCTTAAATCCAATATCATAGATAGTTCTTTCTTTTGATGAGGGAGTGATGCAGTGCATGCCCAACTTTATGGTTTGGTGGGTCAGACATACCCAGTTCATGATGAACATCTCGGGTCATACGGTAAGTTGGTCGCTCATGGGCAAGCATTTAGTCTCTACGAAGGCCCAGTAACAAGCTGTAAATTGTCTCTCAAAAGGGGAAAGTATGGCTTCGCTAAAAAATTCCAAGTGTTTGTGTTGTGATTCACCTATAGGATGGGGCCTGCCAATGGCTCCAAACAGCATCCTGGGTACCACCAATACTTCAAGAACTATCATATCTTCTGAGTCATATGGCCCAGTTAGCAGAACAGCTTGCATAGCAGCTTGACCTGTTGCAGAGCCTACACTTATTCTGGGATTCATTCAAAACAGGCAGCTTTTCAGGTCATTCAGTAAATGGGTCAGAGCAGCACACCCAGATGAGATATGTGTTGCCTCTAAAATCCAAAGAAGCCCAGTGGGCATTGTGCCTCTTTCCTGATGGTAAGGGAAACCAAATGCAGCAACTTGCCCTTTCATCTTAGAAGAGAAATCTCTTCATATCTCAGATAACTGGACCCCTAGAACTTTCACTAAAGTGGCAGGTCCTTGAATTTCTTTGGGATTTATCTCCCACCTTCTAGCACACAAATATCTTATCAGTATATCTAGAATAGTTGCTACTTTCTGCTCACCATGTCCCCATAGGCTTACTATCATCCATGTAATGAAACAAGGTGATGTTCTATGGAAGGGAAGGGCAATCAAGGTCCTTGCAGACCAGATTATGGCACAGGGCTGGAGAGTTGATGTACCCCTGTCGTAAGACAATAAGGGTATATTATTGTCAACATATATCTCACCTGGGTGTGCTATATCTGACCCATTGCTGCTTTGTCAGATGAAAGCCAATTGCATATGATGGTCTTTACCAACAGGTACAGTAAAAGCATTTGCCAGATCAGTAAGCTGCATGCCAGAGATGTGTTGATTTGCTCTAAGAACAAAACCACCTCTGGAAACACAACTATATTCGGTATCACCACCAATTAAGTTTATGATAGTTCATTGTCATTCTAGTTGAATCACAACCCCTTCATCTTTCAAGTTCTTTCAAGTGGCACTAATTTCTGCAATTCCTCCATGAATCTGGTATTGTATTTGGTTTACTGTGGTTTACTGTTTTTGTAAGTAGAGACAGTTCTAGTGGCTTCTACTCGGTCTTTCCTACCATAATAGCTCTCATTCCATGTGTCAGAGAACCACTGTGGAGACTCTGCCCATTTATGGGTGTGTCTATTCTAATTATACATTCTGCAACTCTAAAAATGACCATACAGTGCATTTGGGTACACACTGGACTCACTTTAAGATGGACCTGAGTCATATATTAGTTATACATTGCTGCCTAACAAATCATTTCAAAACTTAGAGGCTGAAAACAAATACTTATTATCTCACAGTCTCTATGGCTCAGGAACCTGGGAGCAGCTTAGCTGGATGCCTCTAGTGCAAGGTCTCTCAGGAGACTGCAGCCAAGCTGTTGCCTGGGGCTGCAGTCATCTCAAGACTTGATTGGGCATGAGGGACTCATTCCCAAGATCACTTATCTAGTTGTTGACAGGCCTCAGTTTCTCTCTGTTGTTGCACTGGGGGCCTCAGTTCCTCACCATGTCACACAGACTTGTCCATAGAATTGCTTACAATAGGACACTATGCATCCCACAGTGCAAACAATATGAGAGAAAGAGAATGAACCAAAGACAGAAGCCATAGTTATTTTATACCCAATATAGGAAGTGTTACCCTATTATTTCTTCCATATTCTATTCATGAGAAACAAGTCACTAGGCCCAATCCATACTCAAGTGTGTGAATACCAGGAAATGGGGATCATCAGGCACCATATTAGAGGCTGCCAACCACATTGGATTATTGAAATAAAAATGAAATTGACAAACAATTGATTCAGAAATAAACATGAAGAGACCAAATAGAAAAATTCCTCAGATCTTCACACAACATATCCCATCTTACAGGTTTGAAATTCAAGGCATAGAGTGGTTAAAAATACGTATCCAAGATTATTTAATCAGTGGCAAAACTGACGCTCAAATATCAGTGCAGTTCCAAAGACTCATTCTGACTCTGAACTCTTCTCAATAATGTCCTTTAACGAGGTCATTTACTCCAAATGGCTTCTCCTCTTTTCTTTCTCTTCTCTTTCTTCCTACTTTTTTCTCCACTTCTAGAAAAAAGACGATTCAGAGACGGGCATATTTATTCCATACCTTATTGGACCTACTGAGGCAACCTCAAATGTGAGGTCATATTTTTTTTTTCCCAGAAAAGTGACCATTTTAAATGATAATCCAAGGCATTCTCACACCGAACTGTCTCTTTCCCTCTGATGCTTTTACATCTTTCCTGTACTTTTTGCCTTCTAAACAGGAGCTGGTGATACTGATACCACAAATTCAGCATACTTGTTCCTTAGCAACAACAGCTGAATTGTCTTTGTCAGTACCTCAGGTTTCAAAGCTGTTCAGAAATTCCCCTCCAAAAGGGCCAGAGTCACTCTCAGAACAGTGAATCCAAAGTTTAAAATATAACTTGAGGGGTATAAGCATATACCCCCATCCCCACCTACTCCTTCCACTTCCCTTTTCCTCCTTTCTGGAGGCACAACCAGTGAGATTTCAGCAATAATTTCTGTAGTCCAGGAAAATGCCAAGGTCACACTAGGGAATACTGGGCTGCCCAAAGGACTGTTTCAGTTCCCACTGCCTACTTACAAGTAAAAAGCAGCTTGCATCCTTAGAATGATCATTTTCTTCATGTAGCTGAAAAAAGTCTCAGATCACAAATTAAAAGTTGAAAGAATGTTTTGTTGTTTAATAATCAAACCATTTATTTTATCAACCTCATTCCACATAGGAGTAGAAGCCTAGCGCATCATTCAGGATCCCATCCTCAGAGCTGATCTGAGGTGCAGTGTGGGTTGAGGGGAGGATGAGTGGAGAAGACAGGGGAAGGAGACTCTGGCCTTCAGCTGTCATCTGTCTGTATCCGTACCTGTTGACACATCTCTCATTTGGTTGGTCTCTAGTCTTAAAGCCATTTTCAGCCCCTTGTGCCCGACCACAGGCTCCTCCAGGCTGGCTTTCTCTAAGGTACCACTGTGCCCCTCTCAGAGGTACAAAAACATTCAGCTGTACTTCTATCTCATCTGGATGGGAGAATCCTACAAGTCTTGTGACCTCCCTGGAAGAAAGATACAGCCTTCATCTTCTAAATTCCTATACCTATCTGCGGAAGGTTCTACTTCCTTCACTGCCCCCCAAAATTGGCCCAAGGGTTGGGGGTGAGCCACAGGACTCCTGCTCAGACACAAATAATATCTTGCTTCCTCTTAGACACTCTTCTTTTTCCATCTCCACTTCTCTAGACTAATATCAGGTGGAAAGGAGGTAGGGGGACAAATTGGCTTTGGAAATTCTTCAAGAGATAGGAATACCGGACCACCTTACCTGTCTCCTGAGGTCAAGAAGCAATGGTTAGAACCAAACTTTGAACAACAGACTGATTCCAAATTAAGAAAGGAGTACATCAAAGCTGTATATTGTCACCCTGCTTATTTAACTTCTATGCAGAGTACATCATGAGAAACACTGGGCTGGATGAAGCACAAGCTGGAATCAAGATTGCTGGGAGAAATATCAGTAACCTCAGATATGCAGATGACACCATCCTTATGGCAGAAAGTGAAGAGGAACTAAAGAGCCTCTTGATGAAAGTGAAAGAGGAGAGTGAAAAGTTGGCTTAAAGCTCAACATTCAGAAAACTAAGATCATGGCGTCTGGTCTCATCACTTTATGGCAAATAGATGGGGAAACAGTGGAAAGAGTGACAGACTTTATTTTCTTGGGCTCCAAAATCACTGCAGATGGTGACAGCAGCCATGAAATTAAGACACTTGCTCCTTGGAAGAAAAGCTATGACCAACCTAGACAGCGTATTAAAAAGCAGAGACATTACTTTGCCAGCAAAGGTCCGTCTAGTCAAAGCTGTGGTTTTTCCTGTAGTCATGTATGGATGTGACAGTTGGGCTATAAAGAAAGCTGAACTCTGAAGAATTGATGCTTTTGAACTGTGGTGTTGGAGAAGACTCTTGAGAGTCCCTTGGACTGCAAGGAACTCCAACCAGTCCATCCTAAAGGAAGTCAGTCCTGAACATTGAAAGAACTGATGCTGCTCCCCGCGGCCCGCCCGCCCGCCGGCTTCGCCGCCGCCTCCTTGGCTCCCTCAGAGCGGGCCAGCGGCCGGGGCGGAGGTTCGGGGGCGTCGCGGCGCCGAGAGGGCGGGCGGCCGGGCTTCGGCGCGCCCGGCGGCCCGGGTCCAGCGGCCGGTCGGTGCGCTGCGAGCGGGCGGCGGCGGCGGCGGGCGCCGGTCTATATGGCGGCGGCTCTGTCGGGCCTGGCTGTCCGGCTCTCGCGCTCGGCCGCCGCCCGCTCTTATAGGGTCTTCTGCAAGGGGCTGACCCGCACGCTGCTCATCTTCTTCGACCTGGCCTGGCGCTTGCCCATCAACTTCCCCTGCCTCTACATCGTGGCTTCCATGATGCTCAACGTCCGTCTGCAGGTTCATATTGAGATCCACTGAAGGCCTTCCGCGGACTGACAGGCGTGTCCTGGGGCTCAGGGTGTCAGAGACACAGCATGAGGGACGGACGCAGGCCTTTCTGCGCCCGCCTCGCGGAGGAGCAGGGAGCAGGTGCCACCTTTGACAGAGCCTTGTGCAGAGGACTGTGGAGTGAGAGAAGGCAGGAGGGGAGCCCATCGGCCCGCAGATGCCGCTTCCCGGGTGAGGAGGCCTGCGGCCGCTGCCCAGGGAGATCCACGAAAGGAGGAGTCATCACCGGAAACAGAGCGGGACCTGCGTGGGGCCAGCCCCGTGCGTCGCGGTGGCCTCAAAGCACTTCCACGGTGGCAAGAAGCAGCACAAAGAAGTTCGGCCTCAGCTGCCGCGCAGAGTGACACTGCGGGTCTGTCCTCGGCGCCTGCAGGGCCGCAGTGTGCGGGGCCGGCCCGCGGCGTCGGGGAGGCTCCGGGGACGGACTGGCCGTGGGCAGCGCCCGTGCCCACTGGTGGCCACAGGGGACGGAGCCACGGCGGAGAGCCCTGGGGGTCCGGACTGCTGGGCCGGCTGAGCGGGTCCGCAAAGGGGGGTTCCGAGGATGATCCGCCCCGTGCTTTCCTAGAGAAGCTGGACTCTGCGTTGGCACCCTCTTGCCTGCGATCCATCCTGCTGCACGCACATCCCCTAATATTCTTGAATGATGAGACAAAAAGTGTTTTCCCTGGCCATTCAGAGCCCATGTTTTCAGAGCCAAGAGTAGAATACAAGAAAATGCTTTCATGGGAAGAGAGTACCTCAGATGATCTGCAGATAACTGTGGCGTCACTGGCTCCACAAGCTTTTGAATGAGCAAATCTGTTACGCCACGGTTAAGGTACAGGCAGAACAGTAAAAACAGTGAGACTAACTTCAAGCGCTCTCCTCGAATGCTTTCTTTTGCGTTAACTCTGGACACACATGGCGCGGCAGTGAAGCTCTGGCTTTGATTCGTGTGACCAGACAGACTTCAAGTCAGTGGAGCTTAAACCCACAGAAGCTGGTTGATACGGAAGGAAGTCTCTGTACTTGAAAGACATTTAGGATTGGGAAGCCATGTCAAGGAGGTTATTGATATTACCTTATACACCTATCAGACTAGCAAGGTTTAAGTTTACCTTCAGCACCCATCCAGCAGGGCTGCCATCCCAGGCACTCTCTCTCCAGCCTATTCTCTGACCGTCTGATGAGAGCAGGTATCTGTAACAGTCAGCCCTGCCGGGCTTGGTCTGAGCCAAGCCACGCTGATGGTACGCTGTTGCCACTTCTGTGTTTTGTAGAATAATTGGAGCAAAAAGCTGATGTCTTTTCTCACATCCCTTTCCTTCCACTCGACATGCAGTTTACATGGAGGCCTATGGTGAAAGTTGCAATATTAACATTACCTTTAGATAACCCTTCCTCAAACTAGGAACCCTAGCAGTGTTACCCAGAATAAAAAATGAGCTCCACTGGAGCTCAGTCCTAGAGGAAAAAAAAAGCAAGTATTTCCCCTTATAGAAGGTCTCCAGTTTCTAGGAGTTGAGAGATCTCCTACACTAATTTTTTCTGAGATAACTCCTTTTGCCGTGTGTTGATAACTTCGATAAAAGGCACTGAAGAACAGAAGTTTCTAAGGAGTCCCAGAGTAAGACGTCCCCATTTTCGGAATTATCGACTGCATATATCAGTTTATATTGTGTGCTAAATTACTCTCCCATGTGCTATGTTAGTGTTCTGGGGAAATGAAAAATAAAACCTGTTCTTTAGCATTAAAAAAAAAAAAAAAAAGAACTGATGCTGAAGCTGAAACTCCACTACTTTGGCCACCTGATTCAAAGAACTGATTCATTGGAAAAGACCATGATGCTGTGAAAGACTGAAGGCAGGAGGAAAAGGGGACAACGGAGGATGAGATGGTTGGATCGCATCACTGACTCAATGGACATGAGTTTGAGCAAGCTCCGGGAGTTGGTGATGGACAGAAAGCCTGGTGTACTACAGTCCATGGGGTCACAAAGAGTCAGATACAACTGAGCGACTGAACCAAACTGAACCAAATATAATTCTAAGCCCTTTTGCCTTCTTCCTAGACCTAAAATTTTTAAACCGAAAAGGAACTATTTCATTCTTGTTCTTTAATTTTCCTGTACAACTTTCCAGAAGACAATTTGTACCTCCACAATAGGGGGCAAGCCATAGAATAAGTAAGAATTATGGGAGAATACATATTAATTAATGCCAAAATATCATTTCACTACAACTAAACACATTTTCCTGCCTTAAAAAAAAATCTGTGTCCTTTCTTTTAAAATCATAGTCCTTTATTTTCTTTCAAATCTACCAAAAGCAGAAAACTCACTGAATATCCTGAGTTAAGTGTCCTTAGAGTGAAAAAAAAGGAGACAAAGTCCCTTTCCTTAAGAGTGGTTGTTATGGGTTGAATTGTTGTTGTTGTTGTTCAGTCACCCATTTGTGTCTGACTCTTTGTGACCCCAAGGAAGGCAGCACGCCAGGCTTCCCTGTCCCTCACCATCACATCCTCTGATGCCTTCTTCTCCTTCTGCCCCCAGTCTTTCCCAGCATCAGGGACTTTTCCAGTGAGTTGGCTGTTCGCTTCAGGTGACCAAAATACTAGAGCTTCAGCTTCAGCATCAGTCCTTCCAATGAGTATTCAGGGTTAATTTCCTTAAAGGATTGAATTGTGGCTCCCCAACCCCTGACGGCCCTGCAAGTATATGTTGATGTCCAAACTCCCAGCCCTTCAGAATAATGATTTTATTTGGAAATAGGTTGTTGACAATGCAGTTAGTTAAGAATAGGACATACTGATGTTCTTATAAGAAGAGAAAAGATACAAAGAGTGGGACGTACAGAAGATGGTCATGTTATGACAAAGGCAAAGATTGGAGTGGTACAGTGACAAGTCAAGGAACACCCAGGATTGCCAGCGCACCCCAGAGGCTGAAAGAGGCAGAGAGGGTTCTTCTCCACAGATTTCATGAGAAAACATGGCCTTATATTTGAGAATGTCTCATAATTGGTTCTCTAAAGTAGACATGCCAGTCCCTAAATAGTCTTTCCTCGTTTGATAAAACATGGGGCATAGCCCTGTCAGCACCCTGATTTTGAATTTGGCCTCTAAAATTATGGGAAAATAAATGTCCATTGTTAAATCACCCAGTTTGTTATACTTTGTAACAGCAGCACTGGGAAAGGAACACAGTGGCCAATTAAAGATTCAAAAACTCAGATATCACAAAGAGGTTAAGAATAATGCAGTGTTAAACTGTGTGGCACTGAGGAGAATTGCAAAAGGAGTCCTCACTGTGTTACTTCATGAACAACGCTAACACAAAGAGGTTACCTCTCCTTGGTCTTCTGGGTCCCATGCTTCAGGATCCTATGAAAGAAAGCCTCCGGCTAAAGGTCAGTCTTCACAGAGGAAGAAGAGATGCTTCTTTTGAACACAAGTGCCATAGGCTCCAAAGATAAATAGGACAAGCCCTCACATCTAGGAAAGTTTTGCTTGCTGTGACTGCCATGTGACTCTGAGCTTCCGCCAACCAGAGCCTCAACCAATAGGAGAATTCTGTCTTAGGAGGCCTGTTTTGAATCTTCATTTCTTTGCCTGAAATCTTAAGAATTGGATAATAGCAGTGGTTCCTATATAACCTGCCTGATTTTGTTCTGCCAAGTTCTCCTCTACTTGTAGGACCTCTTCGTTATGGCCCACTAAATAAGTTGTCTCTACTGGGGCTTCAGTGGCCACCAGGTGTGTGAGAAATTCTCTTTCCCGTAGCCACAGGACTGACCATTACAATTTTCTGTTTTCAGGGAAGGAATTAAGAAGTGTAGAAAGAGATTGGTCTTAAAGGACAAAGTGGTAAGGGCAAAATGAGAACCCAAATTATGGATTTAGAAAAGGACCAAGGGCTCTATCTAAACATGGCAACTTTGGCAGTGAGGGACACTATGGCGCTGTGGATGAATAATGGTCTGCTGGTTGTGTTTGTCAGAAAAATTCCCTGGACTGTGACCTTGACTGAGCTGAGAGAACACTTTGCACAGTTTGGCCATGTACAAAAGTGCACTGTTCCTTTTGACAAACAGACTGGCTTTCACAGAGGTATGGGTTGGATTCAGTTTTCTTCAAAAGAACTTCACAATGCACTGTAACAGGAAATTCATGTTATTGATGGAGTAAAGCTCCTTGTTCAAGCTCAAAAACCCAAAGCTTTGCAAGGACATCAAACATCTAATGAAGAGAAAGATTTTTGAGACCATCACCACCTATTAAACAAAGTAAACAAAACTGTGGTGGGGGGTGGGGCAGGGGGGAGAGAAGGACCAAGGATAACTAAAGCATCCCAATAATTGCTAGACAAGGAATATATTTTTAAAAATGAAAGTTTGGTATTCTATAAACAATAAATAAACTGAATATTGACCATATGAAAAATATAGTATGATTTGTTTCAGAGAACTATGTTTTCAGTTTACTTAATTACTTAAATATCTACAGATGTTTCTGGAGATGTGAGATTAACTAGATATCTACAGACTAAAATATAAACATGCTGCTTGGAACTAAAGAAAAAAGTTTTAAAAAGAAAGAAAAGGACAAAGGAAATGAAAACTGGCTGGGCTTGCAAGTCAGGAGTCATCCTTGATTCTTCACTTTCTCTTGTCTCCCACATCCAAGTAATCAGCAGATTTTATCCATTTTATGTCCAAAATATATCTCATATCTGTTCTTTCAGATTTCATCAACTACAAGTTCTTTACACCAGAAAAACATCATCTGTGTCCTAGACAACTGCTAAACCTCTTAACTGATCTCTCTTTTTCCAATCCTATTCTCATATAATACAAAGCAACCATAATAATCTTAAATCATTAATAAAACCATGTCTTCTGATTAAAATCCTCCAGCTTTCACTTTCAGCCAAGATGGAATAAGAGACTACATCTATCCTCTTTCCCTAAGCAATTAGAAAAATGGACAA